TCCCTACCACTCTTTCCTCCTGCTCACTCGCAGGTAAGGCGTCGACTTTCTCCGCCAGTCTTTCGTGAATATTTCTTTGAGTCTTACAACTCATCTATAACCTGTCTGTCCAGGTAAATCTTGTGTTCTCTTAAAGTTCTTTTATTTTTCTCTTTACTAGAAGTGGAATGTTATCATCGTGTGGAACTTGGAAGCTTAGAACCTCCCTACCACTCTTTCCTCCTGCTCACTCGCAGGTAAGGCGTCGACTTTCTCCGCCAGTCTTTCGTGAATCTTTCTTTGAGTCTTACAACTCATCTATAACATGTCTGTCCAGGTAAGGCGTCGACTTTCTCCGCCAGTCTTTTGTGAATCTTTCTTTGAGTCTTACAACTCATCTATAACCTGTCTGTCCAGGTTACACGCGTTGAATTTCTTCCGCGTCTCTCATCATTTCAAACTCTCCATACTCCAGTGGGAGAACCCTGAGAAAGAGAAAATAAACTCTTTAGTCTCACGCATTGAAGAAGACAAATATGCAGCTTGGGATTGGGCGGATCAACCTCTTCCCGCACCCGTCAAGAGAAGGCCTGACCCTCTCCGACCTACCTTTACGACGCCTGCTGGGCGGTTCTACGATCCTATGGATCATATCTACCATCCCGTCCCTATTGATGATATGGATGGCGACCTTGAAACACCTGCCGGGAGGCAGGCACTTGACATCCTCAACACCATGCTTACAGATGGTACTCCCGCACCTCGTGACTTTGAAAATGTAGTCATCTCACTCAGTAAACCTGGGAAAGACCCTATTGATCTCTCTAACAGGAGGGGTATCACACTCTCAACTGCTTTTCTGAAAGTCATCATGACCATCCTAGAAGAAAGAATGAGCTCAGCTCTTAATGGAGCAAAATTCTTTACGCCAGACCAAGGCGGTTTCCGAAGATTAGAAGAAGGAATGGCCCAATTCCTCTCTCTTTCTGAAGTGGTTCGCCGCAGAGCTAACACTGATAAACCAACCTATGTTCTTTACATAGACTTCTAAAAGGCTTTTCCAAGCGTCCCACATGAAGCACTCTGGAAAAAACTCCGCCACTTAGGCATCCCTGAAAACATCATCACCTTCTTAGATACTACTTATAAACAGAGTACCTTCTGTATGAGAGTTGGAGATGAACTCTCAGAAAACTACCCTATGGAAATAGGCACCAAAGAGGGTTGTCCTCTCTCTCCTCTTCTCTTCATCATCTTTGTGAATGATCTCTTCAAAAAGCTTCCCGGGGTACTTGTACCCGGCATTGACAAAGGTCATTATAATGACACCGGTAAACTCTACGCAGATGATGCAGCCGCCTTCTTTGATAACCTTGAAGACCTCCAAAAAGGTTGTGACCTTATAACAGCATGGGTTGACAAGTGGCAAACCCTCAAAATTGGACATGCAAAATGTGCAGTGGTCATGCACGGGGAGAAAGACCCCAAACTCCGCAAGGCTTTCCTAACCAAATATGGAAATCCTGAAACCTATCCTGGTGACAATAAATGTCACTTTACCCTCACAGATGGCAAAGTCTATGCACAATCTTCTTACAAATACCTAGGCATTGACATAGGTGATAACCTTGGTGTGGGCTATGATGCAGAGCTCACCTACACCCTCCTCCTCTCAAAGAAAGTCAACATGAAAGTTGGTCAACATGGTGTTTTGTTGAGAGACAAACGCCGCACGCTTGCCGAAAAATCCTTCATCATAAAAACCTATGTTTTGTCCGCAGCCCTTTATGGAGGGGAATGGATTGGGATGAATCAAACACGTACATCCATCATACAAAAGAGGGTTGACAACACCGGAACTGCTCCGCAACGCTATGGATTTGGTCCCATATGTGTTGCGGAGCGGAGCCTCCGCTATGAGCGGGACCACTATCCAATCGCTATTTGATAGAAAAAATCTCTGACGAGATTGCGGAGCGGTAAAAACGCTCTTTTTGTGATATATAGCGCGCTATGAAGGCACCATTTTTTAGTTACATAGGACACTAGATAGATAATCTGGGGCAGTTACATGCACTGCCCAATCAATGAAGTAGCCTCGCTAGATATTTTTGATGTCATTGGATATAAATTATCAGTGACTGATGAAGGTAGACAAAACAGTAAGACAAGAAACCAATCAAAAACTTACCCGACTGATGATGGCCTTGATATCATCAACGTTTAGCGATTGAGGTCTACCATAATCAGGAGTGAATTTGATAGTTCTTTTGTTTTGTATCTGATTATAAGCATCAGGAAATCCAGCGGTGTCAGGCCAAAGACAAGCATTTAAAACATTTCTGGGAAAGAACGATCAAAAGGTATCATTAAAAGCATATGAGAAAAGACGAGTAATCGATCAATACCTCATCATATCATCTGTTTGCGTTGACGTTTCAGCCGGAGTGAGGGTAGTGCGTGGGTTATTGTTAGCACACGGCACATTTCAATCTCGCAATCACAGTGAATGACTTCTAGAGGCTGTGTGAGGAATAGAAAAGAAACTATGAAGCTAATTAAGTAATCTTTGAAATCAAATCGAATGAAGAATGTTGAGTGGTGAATGAGATGAGTTCACTAACAAATGGTTGAGGTAAAGAAGCCGATGGATCTTGAAAATGTAAGTCAAATCAAGTTTCGATTGGAAATCATTAAAATCAATTGTCGGAACGGCCGACTGAAAAGCTGAGGTAAAGATGTCATCAGAAATCAAAGTCGTCATTTCTTTATATCAATTC